CATGTGAGTGCCTGGGCCCGGGGAAGGGATGGTGACACACGGGAGCCACGTTCTGTCCTCATCTGCAATAGCTCCATCGTAAAGAAGAGTGCTCTTCACAACAAGAGGTGGCTTTGGCGAGTCCTGAGTTCCTGGAATTGCCACATGCCCACCTCTTGCTGCAAGCTGCTCCCAAAGCTGTCTTGCCCTCAGTGATGTTCCCGTGTCGCTGGTGCTGAGGGAGAGGGGAGGGAAGGTGTCAGCAGGGATCCCAGCTTACGTCTGGGCTTCTTTCAGGTCCTCATTGAGGATACAGATCAGCTGTGGCACAACCACTGTCTCAGAGACTTCAAGAACGAGAAGCCAGAAGAGTTTGAGTCCTGGAGAGAGATGTATCTTCGACTTCATGATGCACGAGAGCAGCGGCTGCTCATGTTAGCACGGAATATTGGCTCAGCTCACGCCAACAAACCCAAAGGTAAAGTAGGGCTGAATGATGAGAGAGGGGCCTGGGACTGCTGCCTCGGGGATGTCTTGGTGTCGGGAAGGTCTTCGGGAGTGTCTGGTTTCCATCGAGTCCAATTTAAGTTTTGCTGAACTCTGTTCTTTATATGGTGGCCTTTGCTTATTGGCTTAGCAGTCTCTAGACTACTTCTGTGGTTTTGATGATGCAGTCTAGCCAGAGCTGTATTTTACAGCAAGTATATGTAGGTCTGCAGAGGCACCTCCTGCTCTGCTTGAGTGGCTTCTCTATACTGGGGTTGAAGAACATTGGGGTGGGCAGAAGCATCCCTGCTCTTTGGGTGAACCTAATGGTAACCTTTGACCTGATCATTCTGATTTCTCACAGCCCGTGCAGGTGAGTGCAAGAGGTTCAGACCTTAGGGAGGAGGCTGTTGCCTGAGCTTTGGAATGGATGAACTGGGGAGAGGTGGTTGGATCTTGCTGTAGTAAGACAGGCACTGAGGACCCTCCTTTATAATACGTTGGATCTAAGCACTGTTTCCTTCTGGCCTCCTGCAGGTCGAGTGGCCAAAATGGCATTTGTGAACTCTGCAGCAAAGCCCCCTCGGGACGTACGAAGGAGACAAGAGAAGTTTGGAACTGGAGGAGCTCTTGTTCCAGAGAAGACAAAGTGAGTGTTTCTCAGTAGCACTGGCTGTTCAGGGTCTCTTTTTCTGGGGGCTCCTGCCAGCATGCCCCTGAAGCTCTGTGTCCTGGCAGGAAAGCATACTGTGTGTCCGGAAGGTGCTTTTGCAGGGAAACTTATAACTGTAATAGTCTGTCTTGCTGGGAAGCATGCAGATCTTGGTCACCACTGGTTCCACACGGTCTCAGCCATACTGCTGGTAACCAATGTGGCTTGTATCTGAAGAATTGCATCAAACCAGAGAGAATCCAGAGAGAATCCTTTCCTGAAATGTCACTCCCATCTGTTTCAGAATAAAACCAGTCCTCTACACATCCAGCAAGAGCCACACTCGTGTGAGTGAGGAGCAGTCCTATGATGGGCCCAGCACCAGCAGTGCCCACTCTGTCCCATCTTCAGGTAGCACCTTCTCTTCCTGTGACCCCAGGAAACCACCAGTGAAGAGTAAGTACAAGCCGCAGAACATCCCTCTGCTCTCCTAGAGCTCCTCCTTTACCAACGCTCAAATGTGCTGCTTCTGCTCTAAGAGAAATCCCGGCTAGGCGGGGGGGGTGATGCTGGGGGCCTCTCTCCTCTCCCTGAGGAGAGGCTCAAGGCTCTTCCGAATCCTTGCACGAGACAAAGCTCAAGGAAACATCAGACCCAGCGGCCCCCGAGACAAAGCGCAGGGAAACATCCGACCCAGCTGCCCGCTCAGTGCTGACTGCCTCAGCCTGTCCTAATGGTCCAGGTGCGGCAGAAACCCGGCCTTTCCCCTCCTGCTGTCCTCCCGTCTCTGTCCGGCTGTTTGGAACAATGACAGTGTAGTGCAGCTCCCTTGGCAGGGAAGCAGGGAGAGTTTAGGCAGAGATGGGTGGTCTGGCAGCGCAGAAAGCCCCGTGGGCTCTCCTCGCTCTGGGACTGACAAGAAGACCATAGGCCGTGACCAGAGAGCTCACGCTTACGCCTGCCCTGCGTCTGCTTTGCCAGGGCTGCAGCTTGGGATTGCTCTCTGCTCTCCCAGCCTGCGACTGCTGCTTTAATGTGCAGGTTTTTTTGGTTGATTTAGTTTTTTTCTTTTTTCTTTTTTCTTTCTCTGTTGCAGAAATTGCACCCATGATGGCAAAGACTATCAAAGCTTTTAAAAACAGGTTCTCCCGGAGATAAGTCGGCTGTGCAGATCTGGGACTTTCCCCCTCGTTGGGGAGTGGCACAGAAGGGGGAGAAGGTCCCCAGACAGCCCTTTGCTTTGAACTCTTGGGAGGCTGCAGCTGCTGGGAGAAGCTTCGATCTGCACAAGACGACAGCACAGTATTTTATCTTTTATTCTGGTTCCTTTCTCAGTGTCAAGCCCCCCCTCTTTTCCCCTACCCTTAACATCCTGTTTCTAGCTTTGTCATCCATCAAAAGAAGGGTGTACAGAATCTCCCGACACAAGAAAATGTGAAGTCTTGGCACCTGCTGAGAGTGGAAGATCCAGAGACTATTTACTATTTAACCTCTTAATAAATTATAAAATGGTTTTAATTAATATTTTGCCCCTTTATCCTGCCGGTATTATTTATGTTGCTCCCAGTAGCTCCCCCTCCCTTTCCCCCCCACCATGCAGTACGAAGACCGGCCTCACTGTGACTGGAGCTGGCCGAATCCATCTCTCCGAGTGTACACTGAGTGTCACGGGAGTCTTTCCGGTGATCTGGTACCTGCTGGGCCCAAAGTCCCACCTGGACCCTCTGGGACCGGTCGGACTGGTGGCCTGTCTGCTCATCGATCCTTTCACAAGTGCATCAGTTCCTGAGGCTCTGCTTTCTACTCGTGTATGTTCATAAAGTCTTAGCTCTCGACCTTCTCTCTGCTGTTACTGTCAGTCTTGTACAGATGCTTACATTGCTGTGCAGGGATGTCAAAAGCCATTGGGGACTTTTTCTCTGCTGCTGTTTTCTTCTGTTGGCTACTGGGAATAAAATTCCAAGGGTTTTAGGAGAAGTCTTACAGTGCACCAAGTCAGATTTTAACTTGTTTTTTGAGAGAGAGGACTTTTGTCTGAAATTGAAAACTGTTTTTAAATATCAGTTGTTTGGAGGTTCTAGGAGGGGAGTGCAGCTACCCTATAAGCCTGACTGATGAATGTTGCGTCTCTACCGGGGAAGGTCGTCCTCATCGACTGATCGTGCAGCTTCGGGAGCGATGCACATGCAGTGGATAGGGAGGAAGGGGACACCCCCCTCGCCAGCCAGATCAGCCAAATCAACCCTGGCGATCCGTGGGGCGACAGATGTTGCAGCCAGATTGCCCTCGCATCTCAAGATTGGACCAGATGATCCTTGAGGTCCCTTCCAGCCTGGTATATGATGATTCTGTGGTATCAGTGAAGGCATCCGTTTGCCTCTTCTGGTGGAAAGAAGGAATGCTTTTCTCTTGTTTTCGGTGTGGAATTGGGAAGGGTCTACTTCCAGTTTGGCAGCTGGTGCTTAAATCCTGTCATTTCCCTGTATGCGTTCCTCTGCCCCCTCTTTGGAAAAACCAAGGATTTTAGTCTTTGAACCTGAACCCACTTGACTGGGGTTGGAGGGCAGTGACTAAGGGAACGTGGTTTGTTTTCAATGCGAGCCCACTACATAGGAGGAGTTCAAAAAGCTGGGTTGTGCTTGGTGTCTGAGGAACCGGAGCTCTGGAAGGAAAGGGTGTGCGATGTGGCCCAGTGGACGGGGACGCTGGGGTTGGCGGGAATGTGAGGAGGTGCCCTGGAGCACAGGTCTCTGGGGGAGTTCGGGAGCCCGAGTTCTATGAAAAGCGGAAAATTACGTCTCAATAAAACCCAAACACTAGACAGTGCGCACTCCTCCTCCCGTCTCGGAGAAAGGACCCTCCAGGCACGGCGTCGGTGCGGCAACGAGGCCGCGTGGGCGGGGCGGCGGCGGCGGGCGGAGCGCGATGGGCCGAGCGCGGTGGGCGTAGCGCGGTGGGCGGAGCGGCAGCACTGCGCAGGCGCTGTGAGC